CTGTCAAGTCAGCCCCAACTCATAGCAACCCCTTCTAGGGTTTCCGAGGCAGTGTCACTACGGAAGTAGATTGCCCAACCTTCTAAGTAAATACTATTTTATACAACAATAATAATTGTTATTTATTATTTTGGGGTCATTTACCCATATATCCTCAACCATGGCTGTGCCTCAGAATCACCCAGTTGCTTTTCAAAAGGACACATGAGCTGTGGGTGCAGGAGACGTGGGAAGCTGGGGAGGTCAGCAGAGGTCTGGGACCAGGTCCCCAAGACCTCTCAGCTCCTGGCCCCCTTTCTACAGCGGCTGTTCTTGCTGGGCCTTGGGAGCTCCCACCACCCCGACCTGGGGCTCTCCCACCCCAGCCGGACTCGTCCTCATCCATCCCCGCCAGGCCTGCTCTGCAGCTCTGTCAGCTCTCATAAATCAGGCCCTCCTGCCCTTTTATCATCCCTGCCCCTGGTGCTCGCAGCCACCTATCGCAGCCTGTTGGGCCTGCAGAGCCTGGAATAAAATCCCTTCCAGGAACTGGGTTTCAGCGCCCGCCCACAGGGACAGTCAGCTTTTCTCTTTGTTCTTCCCAGATCTAGCCTTGGCGCAGGTTCTTCCCTGTCTAGTTCTTTCCCTTTGCGGTGGCTTCCCAGTCCTTGATTACTTGTTGACGTGGGTGCGTATCCCTGGCAGAGAGCGCGTGCTTCTTCCCAAGTTAAGTGCCCTGGGCTGATTGTCCAGGGATCTGTCATCTCCCAAGTCTGGGTGCCCGGACTGCCCCCCAGCTCTAACTGAGGCAGGGCGGCTGCCAAGGATGCCCTTTGGGCTTGAGAAGCCTGTCTTGGCATGGCCACCCTCCCTGTGTGTGGATGCTACCTTGGCCAGTGTCCTTACTGCATCCTCCCTACACCAAGTAGACTGGAAAAGCAGCGCTCTGATTCTGTTTTAGGACACAGGAAAGAGAGGCTCAGGGGTTAAACACCTTGGCCCAAGTGCCACAGTTGGTTCTCATGTGCCTTTAAATGATGCCTTCAAGGCTCTCAGGGTATATGAAATTTTATATTTTATGTGTGTGATTACTTGAATTCTCTCTACAAGTTCCCCGAGTACAGAAACTTGGGACTGCTTTGCCCATCCTGCTATCCCCAGTGCCTTGCCCCAGTGCCTGGCACATTTAATATTAGGTGCCATCAAGTTAGTCCAACTCATGGTGACCCCAGGTGTGCAGAATAGAGCTGCTCCATAGGATTTTCAAGGCTGTAACTCTAGAAGCACATGGCCAGGTCTGTTTTCTGAGGCACCTCTGTTGTGTGCCATCGAGTCGGACCCGACTCATAGCGACCCCTTCTTGGGTTTCTGAGGCAGTATCACTACGGAAGTAGATTGCCCCATCTTCCTTCCGAGGAGTGGCTGGTGGGTTTGAACCGCCAGCCTTCTGGTTAGC